GTCTGGACAATCTCTGCAGAGCAGATGACACTTGCTACAAATGCCTTTTCCCTGGACAAAGAAAATGAGGACTTGGGTAAATGCTTCTCCCTATATCCTCCCCTAGCTCTCCAGACCAGCAGACAGCCAGCTGGCCTCTTGTCCCCAGGCAAAAAGAAGACATTTGAAAGTTCAGCACAATTTGTGTTAATAGCTGAGGTTCTGGGTACTTAAGAAGGTTCCAAGCACATGTTTGTCTCTTCTCTTTATTATGTAGCTCTTCTCTCTAAGTAGGGATGGGAAGTCTTGTTTTTATAAAATAACATTTATTGAGATTGTTCCTGATTTTCAATTGAAAATATTATTGAAGAAAACTTATAAAACAAATAAAATATGCAAAGGAAAATTAAATCACCCATAACATTCTTAGCTTCTTTGTATACCGCTTTCTAGCCTTTATTCTATGTGTGTGATCAAAATTGAGGCCATGGTGGATATACAGTTTTTTATATGTTATACCACAAGCCCTCTCTCATGCCATTCATGATCTTTGACAGTGTGATTTATAATAACTGTATAATATTTCACTCTATAGATTTACTATGATTTGTTTAATGAGTCACTTAACATGGAATATTTAGATGGTTTCTAATGTATTCAAGGTTATTAATAACACTGCAGTGAAGTAGTTAGAAGGCTTTAACCTCCAGACTCCTTTAGTCACCAAGAATTCACAAAGCAGGCAAACAGAATCAAGCAGACTCTTCAATCTGCAGAAGAAATGAGCTTGGAGGATGCCTTCTTCACACTTTCCTTCGGTTTCCTCTCTGATCCTAATTAGAGTACATCTTTAGCAAAACTGAGCAGAAGATTATATATTATATAATTGAATATTATAATATATTATATTATATATTATATTATATATATTATATTATCAGGAAGGGCCAATTATATTTGAATTATAATCGAATATAATTGAATATATAATATATATAATAATATTCACTCTATTTACTGTAAGGGAGAAAAACATCCATAGCAACTCAAAATTCCCTCACAGACTTGTAGACTAGTAAACTTGGCTACTAATCTTGCCTTGAGTAAAATGCCAGAAGTTTGCCTATAGAGTCAAGAGGAAGGAGTCGAGAGTTAACAGACCCGGATCGCACAGGACCCACACTTAGCAAGGTTTGAGAGGTGGTGTGTCCTGAGAGGTATTAAACAGAACAGGGAAAGAGCAAACTACAGGACTTCCTTCTCCATTAGCCCATCCAAGGATGCTGACTTCTGCCCTAATAATCCATTTCTGCCTGCCATACAGGCTCTAGAGGAAAGGCCCCACAGGCAATTCAGATTCCCCACCTGCCCTTCTTTGTTTTCACTGTCTGTAGAGTTCAAGTCAAAGAACTGGAGTAGACGAGCCATGTGATTGAATGGGCTTCCCCCGCCTTTTTAAATTTTGTTTTTTATTTTTTTAGGAGGAACGACTGATTTCTCATTGTCAAGTAAACCTGTTCAATATTTATTCAGCATCACTATGTATCTGACACAGCAGGAGAAATATACAGTAGGATCTGTATCTACACATCTAAACCCGCATGTGTACGCTCCATCTGAGCACCTCCAATTTAACGAGGAAGCTCCAGTCACTTCAGTGAGATCCCAGCATCTTGATGAGGTATGCACACAGTGCTCCTGTCCCGTCTGGGTGGGAAGTTGGAAGCCCCAGGGAAGAATTTCAAGGAAAAATGATGCCTGAGTTGAGTCCTCAAGTTCCTTATTAACCCGGCATTAGAGATGCTCTAAAAATAAACTTGGGGGGGGGGGTAGTTTTCTGCTAGGAAAAAAATGGGTATTAGTATTGTACTACTCAATTTTGTAATAGCCATCACATAATTATCACAGGGTAACAGAGAGTATGTAATTTTCCCAAAGGCACACAGCATGCTCAATGAAGATCTAGATCTGGAAATCTGACCTCCCTGGCATCTAAGATCTTGCTGTACTTAACAGGTGTGTGTATAACACATATGCCTAAGTGTGTACACACATACACACGTCTTATTCTCTACTCTGCCTAAAAGGGGCCTCAGACAGACTAGTTTGGGGATGGGAAAGTAGCTGAGAGAAAACATGCAGATATAAAGTCCTGTGGGATGGCCCCCGTGAGCATCCCCTCCACAATAGCCACTCAAAATGATGTTTTTCTTTCCATCCTGAAAAAAAAAGTCAGAGTCTGTATGATCTGAGAGTTGCAGACCTCTTGAATAGAAAGAGCCTCACAATCACACATCCCTTTGCACCCAGGCGGGACTGCTCCTAATTTCTCTCACATTTTGAGGTCCCGAAGAAAAGAGACTATGCTACTTCCTGACAGCCTCCTGTCTCAATGAATTCCCTGGTGGAGAAAAGTCCTCCAAGTCTCTGTTTCCTGGCCTTTATATGAAAGGCAAATGAGAAAAAGCATGGGCTTTGGAGTCAGATTTGGGATCAGTCCCTACATTTACGACATCCTCATTACAAGACCCTGGACAAATTATTAATTTCTCTGATCTTTAAAATTAGAATAAAAAATGACAATTCTCATGGCTATCGACTAGACAGATAAATAGTCAAGTGCACTGTAGGGGCTCATCCCTTTTAGTTCCCTCTCCCTTTCTTCACCTGCTCCCAGGATCATGCTGCTCCCTTTGGTACTATTTGATATGAATGTGGTTGTATACGCTGAGCCACGGTGGGAAAACAAGTCTCAGGTTTAAAGAAGACCCCAGGCTTAGCAAGGTTTGAAAGCTCTCTGGGAAAACAATGGTTAATAACTGCATCCCCGACTATTCCTGTGTGCCACACCCCCAGCCCTGGGAACACTTTGCTTTTCTCAGCTAAGAGCTACCCTCCCCATCAAGCCCCTGCTTTGGGGTTTGAAAAGGTAATGAGGAAAAATGAGCAAGGAGAAGAAAGAAGAGCAGAGGACAGGAGGAGATACAAGAGGGAAAAAGGAGGACAGAATGCGTGGTAGCAGGTAAGAGCATGTGTGCAGAGTTTAGGGAGATGGCTCAAGGCTCTGCTGCACTGGCAGCTCTGTAGCCTTAGACAAGTTCTTTTCTGGGCCTTAGTTTCCCCATTTGAAAATATGTTCAATAAAGTCTGTCATCATGAGATTCTCACGAGGATTACACGAGATGATGTATGTGTCTAACAACTAGTAGGTACTCAATTAGAAAAAACTACTACCTAATATACACTGAGTGCTTACCATACACCAAATCTGTAGCCTAGGTAAATCACCTGTATCACCTCAGGCTTAATTTATTATTATTATTAATTATTATTATCCATATCAAATAAAGAAGAAGAGGAGGAGAAGAAAAAGAAAGGAATCTTGAATTCACATTGGAACCATAAGGGGCCTTAGGGCCATTGAGTCCGACTGCATAATTTTATAGATGAGGCAACCCAAGGCCAGAGACACAGTGATTTGCACAAGCTCACAGGGTTCTATGGCAGAAGGATCTGGACTGGATCCCAGCCTCCTAGTTTCATGTACAGAAGGTGGGAGATGCCGCTAGAAAGGGTTCCTGGGAGCCTCAGTCACCTTTTCAGGAGTGGCACTTCCATGGAAACTAACCTCATGCATCACCTCCCTTGGCAGCCAACACCCTCACAGCCCTCACAAGGAACATGACTCCTGTTCATTCATACTCCATTCTCTCACCCACAGGCTCATAATTAAAAGAGAATACACATGCCTTTGGTTTCTGAGACCATTATTAAGAACTGGGTGAGCCACAAGCAAGCAGACAGCCGGGCAGGAAGACCTGGATTAAAGCTAATCCCCTTGCTCTACAGACACTCATCAGAGAGTGGTCGTAGGTCCCACAGAGAGGAAGCAGAGCCAGTTTCACGGGGCTCCCCAGCCCTTCATCTGCCTGGGGAATCGCAGTTTAGAAAACATTATCTTTTCATGTTTATCTCTGATAGGCACTGCAATGATTTGCATTCATTCCTACAAAGTGTCGGAAAAGCCTGTGAAGGAGTAACAACCAGGCTTCTTAATGCATTTCAAATATCAAAAATCAACTTAATTAACTAGGGTACAATCCAACTTTAATTAATACTCCATTCAAATGAATTCCTGGGGGGAACACAGGCATGCACACACATAATGAGTTCACCTGCCAAGGGTGTTATTACAGAAGATGCCAACGTGCCTCCTCACTGGCCACTTACTCAATCTCAGAGTGCCCCGTGTTAATCAGAACCGAAGAGCAACCGCACGTTTGCAACCCTCCTCCCCTCTATGGGCCCTTCTGCCCTGCCAACAATGCAACGTGATCCATCCTCCCCTCTCCTGTCTCCACTTTGTGAATGATTCGGGGACCGGATTTAAGCCCAGCTGGCTTCCTCCTGCATGGAAGGCACCCCAGTCCCCCCTTCCTTCAATGGCTGTCACTCCACGATGAGAAAGGTGAGGACCATTTCACTTTGATAGCACCCTGTGGCAGACCTCATTAAGAAGATTTAATCCTCTGTTTAAAAAAAAAATAAAATAAAAACGTAGAACAGATTTGCAAACTCTGTATGTTCCTTGCTGGTAGCAAAGATAATCAAAGTTCTGCAGGACTCTAATTTTTGACAGGAAACAGCAACCAAGAAAAATTGGGTGTGGGGTGGGAAGGGAGTCTCTGATCCTCTAATATTGCCTCTTACGGCGACTATTTCTATACCAGGGATCCCCAAATTCCTCCAGCTGCAGACTAAATGCTCTAACAGACTCCCCAAACCACCTGCCTTCCCAAGCCCCCTCCTGACTAGAGATGCGGAGGAAATTTTGCCCCATAGTGGTAGAGACCTCAATTCAGGTTATCAGGGGCAAACTGTTAATATCATCAACCTTAGGAGGCTAGTAATCCCCAGACCACCCAGGACCCCAGGCAGACCTCGGCGGCTAGGAAACTGCCCTGACCTTCGCTGGAACGAAGCAGCCCAGCCAACACCCCTCCTCTGCTCGCTGCCCTTACCTCTTTGGTGTGAGTGTGGAAGGAGACGGACATGTCCAGCAGAAGCTTCCGCTGCTCCACCCTACGCACGAAGTCTTGGATGCGCACCTCCAGATGCCGAGCCGCCTTGTAGATCTCCTCCGGGTCACATTCCCCTGTCTGAGCCAGCTGCTCTGCCGCTTCTAGGAGCTTGTCCGCATTGGTGTAAGTATTCTGCCAGCAACGACAGTGAGGGAAAGTCAACTTGCAGTCACAGACCGAGCTTCGCGCCTTCGCCCAGCACCCACCCCGGGCTGCCCAGAGCTGGGCGTGGGCGCCGAGCCCAGAGCTCCCTGATTTGGCACGGGGGAGCTCAGCGCCCAGCTCACCCACCGCCTCTCGGCAAGCCAGCAGCCTGCGTGGCAGCTTGGAACAAGTGGGCGCTAGCTAGGTGCCTTCTGCATCCCTGGGATCTCTCCCAGGTGGGCTGTGCCTGGAAAGAAGCGAGGAGACACGCTAGAATCCCCATTCCTTGGCCGCGCGCCCTGACCCCCTACCCTTACGGAGATCCATCACTGCCCTCCCATCTCAGGCTGTAACTGCCAGAGTTGGAAATACCTCATCCACGAAGATCGGCTGGGTCTCTACATGAGAACGCCAGGGAAATAATAACTGGGAGACTTGCTCGACTTTTCCCCCAAGTCCCTTGTAACTACTGGTGTTTATCTTTTGGAAGGGAGCTATCTCTTCGGAGGGGAAAGGGTCAGCAACTCAGGGAACCGACAGAAGGAAGCAGCCACAGCCAGAGTGAGGAGATGCAGGCTACTCCCCGTGCGCCCAGCAAAGGCTTAAAGCTCGCAGGAAGGTTGGGGATGAGTCTGGTGATTTTGTTTATCTTAAGCTACCACAGGCACACACACATTTACACATGCACACACTCACTCTCACACACACTCTCCCCCCAATCCCTGTCTGTATCCTCCAGAGCAGTTTAAAAGGCAACCAACTTGTAATTATTGTCCATCAGGATGGAGTCACTGCCTCCGCAATACCTATATTCCAGTTATTACATGTATGCCATGGATACAACTTTCCTCACTAGGCTTCCCTTAAAAAAGATCTCCAGACAGACCCTGGATTAGGGTTGGTGACTCAGGTGTACATTATATTTCTTAATATCCCTATAGCGGCACAATGACCTACAGGATGGTGAACAAGTGGTTACTGGTGATGGTGTGAATCCGGCGGCAGAAACAGTCAGGATCGAACGCAAAGTGAGTGGAGAACTAGAATGGATTTTGGAGTGATGACTGTAAGGTGCTTTACTTTGCACATATCTGAAGTGGCCTCCGCTCCCCATAGAGTTCTTTAGATTCACCTGAAGACCTGGGTGTTAAAGATTGAATTGTGTCCCCTCCCCTCAAAATTCACACGGTGAAGTCCTAACCCCCAGTACCTCAGAATGGGACCCTTATTTGGAATCAGTTATTGCAGATGTAATTAGTTAAGATCAAGTCATAGTGAAGTAGGGTGGACCCCTAATTCAATATAACTACTGTCTTTCAAAAAAGAATGCCACATGAAGAGACAGACACATGCTCAGGGAGAACACTGTGTGAAGCTGAAGGCGGGGATCGGGGGATGTGTCTACAAGCCAAGGAATGCCAAAGAGTGCCCGCCAGCAAACCGCTGGAAGGTAAGAGAGGCATGGAACAGATTCTCCCTCATATCCCTCAGAAAAAAAAACAACCCTGCTGCCACCTTGTTCTTGGACTTCTAGCCCCCAGAACTGTGAGGCGATACATTTCTGTTGCTTAAGCCACCCAGTGTGTGGTACTTTGTCATGGCAGCCCTAGCACACTAATACACCAGGTGGAAGACCCCAGAGACTGCTGACCCAGCTTCCTGATGGAACTGCAGAGGATGAGCAGGCTTGCAGCGCACACCTGTCATGGCCTCAGGGGAAGCCAAGAGAGGCCCTAGTGGATCTTTAAGGAATGCCATCTGACAAGAAACTGCCCAAGGTAAACACTGTCCCCAGAGCAGGTGAGATGGGGCTGGGGCTGGGAGTGGGGATGAAAAGGAAGAAAAATCCTTCAGCTCCACTTGGGGGATTCATGGAGAAACAGATGATACTTATGAGAGGAAAGAGGCTTTGCCACTGAGTTAAGTAGGAGTATATTGATTCTGGAAGGCAAATGAAGGAAGTACTCAGAGTCATGATGGAAATGCCGGGAGAGATGGGAAATGATAGGCGGGAGGAGACCTCTGGGGCTGTGGGCCAGGTTAAGGAAGCCTCTTAGCGGGTTGCCTGCAATTTCTAGTAAATAAACCCAGAGCTGATGGGAGAGAGTTTTTTCAAGGATCTTTCAAATCTTTCACTTTAAACTTTAGGGAATCTCAAGAAGTCCCCAAAAAACCCGAGATTGTGACTTTGTAGTTTCTAGCCAATAAATAAAAATTTATGCCAAGCCAAAGCAAGCTTGCTTTCAAGTTAAGTTTGGGACCAATAAGAGGTAAATAGAAAGCAAAAGTGAAGTTTCCGCTGCATGTAAGGTGGATAACTTGTCCTGGTTTGCCCAGGACTTTTCTGGTTTTAGCACTGAAAGTCCCGTGTCCTGGAAAGCCTGTCAGTCCTGGGAAAATCAGGATGGCTGGTCAACCTAACACATAGCCAACACTGTAGGTGTCTCAGGAGTGCAGATACATATACGATGTATATTGCCTCAAAGGAGAATAAAATCACCCTTGAGAGGAATAATGTGACAACGCATTAAACGGGACAAGCAGCACAATAATTAGGGATTAACGTTTCTTGGCATGATACAGGTGCTAAGAAGAAAATGAGTGAAAACCAAATAATAGTAGCTGATAATGACTGAATACTTCTCACATGCCAAGGACCATATGTGTTAACTCGTTTAATCTTCACAATAACCCTAGGAAGTCGATACAGCCATCAGCCCCATTTTACAGATAAAGAAACTGAGGCAAAGAGTATTTCTGGCTAAGGTCACATTTCCCAAAAGTGACAGAAACAAGATGAAAATCTTGTTGTCTGCCTTCAGAGCCCAAGCTCCAAACAAAACTACCCTATCAGATGAAAAGGGGTCTCACATGCCATGCTAAGGTGTTTTGGTCCAAGGTAATGGGAAAGCACCGACAGCTGTAGGTAGAAGAGAAGTATGACTGGGGTATGGCATCTAGAGACACTACCCTGCCTCTCACAGATGAAGGCAGAAGCTTGAGGATGGGCAGGATTTAGCAGAGAAGGAGGGGTTTCTCATGGACAGGACTGTCTCTCTTTGTGCTCTGTTTATCCCATACCACAGCTGCTCTCATTCTCGTGGTAATGATGTGTTTCCCTGGGTATCTCCCCAGGTACTGGTCTGTGTACCCCTTAAAGGTAGGTCCCATGTCTCACTCATCTCTGGTTCTTCATGCCAGATACCATGGCTGGTATACAATAGGCACTTACTAAATGTCTGTTGAACGAACAAGATTCAGAGATGGGAATGATCGTGTCATGTCTGGATAAGTTGAGCCAACCTGACTAAAATCGGAGAGTGGCAGGAAATCACACTGGATAAGGCAGGGAAGAGCGCAATAATAGATTTTATAGAGAGAGGGACAAGAGAGACAGGGGGGAGGGCAACAGCGTCAGCACTAAAAGCTGGGGTCCCTGCTCTACCCGCTACCCAGCCCTCCTCCCCATCACGACCAGAAAGAGCCTCTTAAATTCAGATCCAGTCACACCTCTCTTTCACGTAAAACTGTTCAGGGGATTCCCACTGACTTTGGGGTAAAACAACTCAGGGTGCCGTGCGAGGCCCTTCTTCACCTGACACTTGCTTCTTCCCTTCAGCTTCAACTCACATCACTTCCCTACAAATAGCCTGTGAAACAAATTGCTTACACTTCCGGAAACTCACAGCACTGAATCTTCCCCCGTGCTTCTGCCTGGGGTGTGCTTCCCCCACTTTTTTTACACGACCAACTCTACTCACCCTTTAAGACCCAGCCCAGCCCAGGTGTCTCTTCTTTCAGGAAGTGTACCCTGAGATCCACTTCTCTCCCAAGGTTGGCTTAGATGAACTCTCCTTAGCTCCAGAGTGACCTGTGCCAACTCCCTCCTTGGTACCTGCCATATTCTAATGCAAATGTTTGCCTTTCTCATCCACTTAGGGGCAGGTAAAGTCTTTCACATCTTTCCCTTAGTGCCTGGCACCAAATAAGTGCTCTATAAAATTTTAGTGAAGGGGGCTTCCCTGGTGGCGCTAGTGGTTGAGAGTCCGCCTGCCGATGCAGGGGACGCGGGTTCGTGCCCCGGTCCGGGAAGATCCCACATGCCACGGAGCGGCTGGGCCTGTGAGCCATGGCCACTGAGCCTGCGCGTCCGGAGCCTGTGCTCCGCAAGGGGAGAGGCCACAACAGTGAGAGGCCCGCGTACCGCAAAAAAAAAAAAAAAAAATTTTAGTGAAGGAATGAATAATTAAAGAATACATTAATCCCCACCAATCCTAATATTCAATCCTTGGCCCTCATCAACTACTTGGTATAAGACCTCACATCCTAGAATTCATGTTCAATCCCATTTGGTTTATCTTACCTCCTGGCAGAGTCTTGAAACACGAATGTGCTTACAGAATACCAACTAAAGTATTAACAGAGCAATACACTGATGCTTTTCATTGACACAAATTGGGCAAGGATCACAATAGGCTTCTGCTCACCTTCTGACCAAATTAACAACAGTTTCTGCCCCAGGGCCAGAGTCCAACCTCACTATGAGTGCAGTTCCTAGGTATTCTTTGGTTCTCCAGCCTCCTACCCCCTGTCTTGGGTTTGGCCCCTTGCTGACATTTCCTAATCGATGTTGCAAAAATGGGTTATGAGTGCGGGGATATCAATCCCTCAGCCCCTGGGGCTTTCAAGCAGGGCCTGTGGTAGCCAGAGACCTGAGTCAGAGATTTGGGCCATACAGATGGCTGCACTTTCTGTTCTTCCCTCCCTCCCCCCCCGCCATGCCCGTGTCCATCAGGTAAAAGCCCTTATGTCGAAAGGCATAAAATCTCATCTTCACTTTATTGTGCTTTGCAGATATTGCTTTTTTTTTTTTTTTTTTTAACAACTTGAAGGTTTGTGTCAACCCTGCATTGAACAAGTCTATCGGCACTGTTTTTCCAAGAGCATGCTCACTTCATGTCTCTGTGTCACATTTTGGTAATTCTCGC